TTTCTAATTTATGTGCCTTGTAGTCTACAGATGTTTATGTCTTTAAGACGAAATTTTCTTTTTCCTAGTGTTTGTCCGGACTTATTTATGAGCAGTTGTTTATGAGTTCTTTGGATATGCATGCTGTGTATATGGGAACTGATGGCTACTAATTAATGCTTACCTGGTGGAGCTCTTTCTTAGTTGAGGTTGCGAATTTCGCATTAAAATTTAGTATGGAGTATTATTAAGTTCATGCAATTTCGGTAATTTTACTTATTCGGTTTATGCAGATTTAGACGTCAGGTGCATTGCCACCTAGGCGGGTGTGGTGCAGTTATTCCTTAACCTCGACCGCCCACAATTAGCACGCGTTGTTTCTGGCTTGGTAATCCAGGAAAAATTTTAGGAAAAATTTTCTTTGTATTCAATCACTTTATGTAGAGCACTCTGGGGCTTAATCCATATGGATGTAATTAATAAGTTTAAAGCTACTTTTTTAGCTTTATTTAAAATTAATATACTATACAAAAGGGCATTTAAAGTTTTAATTGAATGATTGGTATCCAGGCTACTGCCCAGCTCTGTTTTTTTCATCTAGACGCCTCAGATATTTGGGTTAAACTCTGTATGTTTTTGATTTCAGTTCAAATAAAAACCACGTTAAAGAGCGTACTCATAAGCGTTTTTTGCAATTAAAAATTAAAAATTATGACTTTCTGGGTATAGTCTTTATACAGTGTGAGCCATTTGTTTGCGACTCACCCCTGTAAAATCTTTATTTATGGTGCGATTTTAAGCGGATTTGTTTTAAATTGTAGATCTTGTTAAACTGTATAAGCATAAGCTTGATAAACTGTCTAAGCAAAAGACGCCATATTAGTACAAAATACAAGCCCTACTATGTCAGTTTTTAAGATTAAATTTTTAAGAATTCATATTAGCCATTTACCAGAAATGTTATTTCATACGTTATTCCCAAATGTGTACTTTATAAATCAATAAATATTTTAATGCTTTACTACCTAAAACCATGTTTTATTAAACTTTGAAATCTTGCGCTCTTATTGATAATACAAAGTTTACTAAAATAATAATTAATTAAAAAAAAACGTACTGATGAGTTGCGCAACAGTTTTTTGTAAACTTTAATTTTAACTAGTTATCAGTAACAATATAATTTTGACAATAGTTCGTCACCCTAATATAACAAGGTTGTATGTTAAAAAACCAAAAAAAGTGAGTTTATGCTTAAGGTTTTATGTAATCCACCCTTGACATACAACTTGAAAATAACTCTATATATATGTATACATAGAATATACATTCTATAGAATTATTTTTAAGTAGTAAGTGAAGCGTAGGCCACGTATAATCCTTTAGAAACATGGACTTAAATTTTTCGTTTTTTAACGTACAACCTTGTTATATTAGGGTGACGAGTTGTTTGTTAAAAACCTAATGATCTAAACAGCGTTAAGAACTTTTAAACTTGTATTTTTCTTAATAACTTTTCATAACCGTGCGGAGAGTTGCACGCCTGCAGAAAAATTATTGTACCTAACTTGGCTAGGCGTCGTTTGTTCAAACGGCAGTCGCGTACGGAAAAGTAGCACTTTCGCACTAGTTAGGTAGTATATTAAAGAACTAATGTCATAAGACGTAATTTTGTCTCACAAGGACAATTTATAAAACTAGCGACTAGTATGCTGTTTAAGGTAGCCAACCTATAAAATCAAAATTTTGGGTGGGGTAAAGTACCTCATTACAGCACCGAAAGCGGTGTTACAATGAAGTCATTATAAACGCAAAATAGATAAATAACTTTTACCTCTCATCTAATGAACTTGCATTAGAATCAGAATCCTTGGTGCCACACCCAAAAGTCCTTGGTGCCACACCCAAATAATTAAGATTAACTTTCTGTCAGTGTCAAGCTAAATTTGTCTTATTTTTGTGTATTTATAAAAGTCTTAATTTAGAACATAATTTTGTCTTTTTTTTTAATAATACCATAGGTAGGTGTATTATACCTGGTATTATTTTTTTTAAATAAACAAAATTAGGTTGACAATGACAAAAATATAAGCTAAATTATTTGTTATTATCAGTCAGGTGGTGGAACTTTTGGGTGTGGACCATATATGGTCCACACAATATTTACCACAATGTAATTAAAAAAGATAGATTAATTTAACAAAGCAACAATGATATTCCGGGAATCCCGGCTCGACAATAATTACAGGAATTGATCATTAGGTAGAGTTCAATTTATTAGTACAGGGTACAATAACGTAAGCTGCGCAAACCGATTTCTGTCAAGTCCGATCACGTGACTCCCACTGGTATAATATATATGTTATGGCTAATGTGCAAACTTGGATAGTTTATAAACTAGCTGGATAGTTTATAAACTAGCCAAACTGTCAGCTATTTTAATTGAAAACATATTTTCAACTAAATTAGCGGCTAGTTTACAATATACAAGGATCTTGGCTAATTTACTTGAAATTATTAGGAAAACTAAAATAGCTGGATAGTTTGTATACTATCAAATTCAGTTTGGCTAATATGAAAACCAAAATTTCTAGTAACACAAAATAGCCAAGCTTTAGCTAGTTTTTAAACTAACCAACCAATTCTCTGGCTAATTTATTAAAAAAGTGAGGTTACGGCATTGTTTTTGTTTTGTGCATTTTAACGTTTTTAAAATTAATCATAGGCAAAATTTTAACGCTTCCTTGTTAGAAAACTCAACAACATAACCCTACCGAATACCCTCCTGTTCCAACGATGCCGTGAACTCATACGAATTGTTTCTGCCCGCACCTTTCCGCTATGCATTGTCTGCGGCACAGTCTGCCCATATAATAATTGTTCTGTGCAAATTAGAAATAATTATTAGCGTTACTATTATTCTAAGCGACTTGCCTTTATTTTAAAATATAAATCTTTTAAAAGTTGTTGAAGAATGGTAAATGACTAGAACCAGACCAAATTTTAAAATTTGCCTGTACAAAAAGCTATGTAATCCGGTGCTTCATTTTAAAGCGACATTTTTTTTTCCAAGTCCCACCCACAATCCACACAACAAGGTCTGTTCTATCTCCTGCTAAAAATACTAAAAATCACTGCATCACTGCACATAGTTTATCGGCGGCCATTTTTGTTGTTTACAATTCTTGTGCTTTGGGTTTGTGCTGTTTAATAATTGTTTTAAATGTTGTATTTCTTACAGAGGTACTTGTAAGCCTCAAATAAGGCCTTTAAGTGCTAAGGACAACCATTTTACTCCTATTTTATAATAAATATACCTTATTCTATCAGGGCTGTCAAATGACAATTTTAAGGTTAATTTGTGGGTTATAATTTAACCTTAAAATTTACATTTGATAGTTTTATGACAGCCCTGATAGAATAAAGTTTATTTTTTACTTTAGAGGAGTAAAATGGTCGTTCTTAGCACTTTAAGGACTCTTTTAAGGCTTACTATGAGAAACACAACGTTTAAAACGATTATTAATCTGTATAAACAGAGCACAAATCCAAAGCACAAAAATTGTAAACAACAAAAATGGCCGCCGTTAAACTGTGCAGTGTAGCAGTGATTTTTTGTATTTTTAGTACGAGATAGAACAGACGTTGTGTGGATTGTGGTCCCACCTAAAAATTTTGTAACCTGTCCAAAAACAAAAATGTTGAGCTATTACAACCATTAAAAAACAATTTTTATTCTTTTCTCCTTCGGCTCGTACAGCTTTACGCCTGAATTATAGATTGCCTTCCTTCCTTCCTTCCTTCCTCCCGTAGAAGATGAACATTACCTAATTTTCACCATTGACATTTGTCGTGTAAGAATTTGTAATATTTTGTGATAATATTTTGCAATTATAGTAATAAAAAAAATCAAAGAATAAAATATTTTCTTAACAAAATCATATTTTAAAGTTATTTTAATATTTTAAAGTATCAATATTTGTCAAAAGTTTAATTAAAATTAATAACGGGCAATGTTAATGGTGGCAATTACGTCAAAAATGTTTATTTATATCGTAGTGCCGTAAGGACGGCATTCCTTTCTCCCGTAGAAATTTTTAAGTTTTATCTTTCACCGTAAAGGTCTTGGACATGCATGACCAATCACAGTGCTTGTTATGGACATGCGCTGTAGGGTGACAGCGAGTAGGCACAAAATATTTAAAATACATGATTGTTTAGTATTATTTAAGATAGGTGTTCAGTTTATTAAATAATTTGTGTCTCTAAATAGGATATTTAGATATTGTTTATGATCAATGTCTTTCATTTTTAGAAACGTTGCTTTGTAAAACCCCGTAGTTTCCCGGTCTTGGTAAAGTAAGCGATTCTTCCAACGTCTTGTTCGATGTTTTTTTTTCATTATACACCGAAAAAAATAATATAGTTGAGTTAACATTTGCCTAAATGTCATTTTTAAAAATGTTGTTTCAACAAAAAACCTATTGGATTAATCTATATTTTGGTGTTAAAGCAAAAGTCAGAGTTTGTCAAAGTTTATTTGTTCATTTGACAGTTTAAATATTAATTTAACATAAACTAATATTTTGAATTAAAATGTTTATCGGACTTTGATTTAATAGCTGGAATTTTTGGAATCAACTACTGAAATTTTTAGGATTACCTAAAAAAACTATTAAATTTACGTTTAGTTGCTCTTTAATCCAAAACTTTAAATTTGTTCATTTAACAAATTTAAAATGTTACTTTAAAATTTAAAATGTAAAATTTGCATTCATAAAATTGCCGAGAATGGCGCTTCGAACACTCACGCCACGTCATTAGACAATGACGTTTTCTTACATCTCGCCTTAGTTAGCTTACGATTAGGTGTATATAAGATGAGATATCTGTTTGTTAAAGGTGTGTTCCACAGTAGAACTTTCACTACACCATATTGCCCGACACTGTTAAGACCCTCAATACAGGGCGAAATAGTCTGTCGGTATTTGAAGTAGGTGGAACACATGATACAAAGATGTATCATGGGTGGAACCATAGATAACACGTGGAACACGCTCAAAACAAAAACTCTGGGCGAGGTGAAGGTTCAATTCTTTCTATTTATATATAATAATATATTATTTCCATAATTTTGTTTTGGATACCAACCTTTAAAGAATTTTACATTTTCAGAATGTTAATTTAACATTTTATTGGTGTTGTGAATATGCTTATTTTCACATTTCAAGAAATTTACCTTAACACCCTAAGAACGTTAAATTAACCAAATTAGCAGATTAGAACAAATATTCTTATTTTGTTCATTTGACTGTTATTTGTTTTTCAATTAAACAATACAATTTGACATTTTTAGATGGTTAAGTAAACGTGCAAAAACCATTTCTTGTATTTAAAGTGCATAAAGAGTTGACTTAATATTTTTTTTGTTGTTTCAACAGCTTATTTTTTTCAGTGTACTGCCCTACTATGGAGAACGGCAGTAACTACAAATGCATTTTATTGTGCTATGATAAAGCTATGGACATTTTGTATCTTAATTCAACAAAGAAATGCAGTAAACTATCTTTTAAGTTAAATAAATCAGTTAAATACCTACTGCTTTTTATAAAAATGTAGTTTATGCTAATTTCCCACAAATTTCTTGTTTAGCAGTTACTGCCTTTCTCCATAGTTGGGCAGTATACAACAAGCTGCCTGGGCAATTAAAATTGTGATCACTGCACTAATATATAAATGATTATCTTTCATATTTACACACAATGGGTAAAACGCAGAATATAAACAAAAACAAATGTCAACTATTTTAGGTGTCATCGCCCATGGTTACGGAATTTTACACGGAAATCTATAAATTGACTCTTTACAAGACGTACTATGCTCCACACTTCAAAGTCCCACCACGTGACCACGTACGGAACGCAGTCTTTTGATAATTTGTCATTTAAGGCTTTTCAGGTTATGTATCTGTCAAAGTATAGTCAATGAAAGAAATATTATTTATACTGTTACCGTTTATGTTTAAGCGTTAAAAGTTTATAAATCTTTATAGTATAACAGTAACAATAGTTGGTTTAATAGTTTAGGAGTATAAATACTGCATTTAATGAAATTCTAAAGTGTATAGTGCCAAATAAGTAAAGTTTTTGTGCATTTGGTCTACATAATATGTTAATATATTATATCTGGTTTTATCCATAAAATAGTTGTAACTAAACGGCATTTATTAAAAAAATCTAGCTTCTCTATTATGGAATAAGAATATCTGTATCAAAGGTAGGTTAATATATTATAACAAAAAATATCATCTAATTTTGAAATTTTAAGGTTAGAAAAATCTATTTTGATCAAAATAAATAAGTATTTTGGATTATTTGGAAGAGTGTGTTAATATGGTCATATAAATATAGATATACTAAATAATTGTTGAATATGGTTCAAATTAAATGAAAGCTTTTATACTCATAACAACAAAACTTGTGCATACCTCTCGGGATCCCTACTTTAAGTTAGATTATAAGGAAACAAACAATTTTTATACATGCAATGTATTTTATTTTGAAATTGAAGCTTTATACGTAATTGTATTGACAAAACTTTATGTAGGTATACTTTAAGCTGGATAAGAAAGACTACTACAAGTAAAAATATTAGATAGAGTATACTGTGGTTTTATTTAAATTTTAGAATTTATACAATTACGTATAAAGCTTCAACTGAATTTTATCTTCATCGAAAAATCATCAACTTTTAAAAATTTCAAAAATCACATGTTATTTATTTATTTATTTATTTAACATCCAGAGTATTAAATATTTTTGCATTGCATGTAACTCTAAAAATTGTTTGTTTCCTTTTAATCTAACTTAAAGTAGGGATCCTGAGAGATATGCACAAGCTTTAATTTAATTTGAACCATATTCAAAAAATATTTAGTATATCTATATTTATATGACCATATTAACACACTCTTCCAAATAATCCAAAATACTTATTTATTTTGATCAAAATAGATTTTTCTAACCTTAAAATTTCAAAATTAGATGATATTTTTTGGTATAATATATTAACCTACCTTTAAAACAGATATTCTTATTCCATAATAGAGAAGCTAGATTTTTTTAATAAATGCTGTTTTGTTAAAACTATTTTATGGAGAAATGTAGACCCAATGCACAAAAATATCACTTATATTGCACCTTACACTTTGAAATTTCATTAAATGCAGTATTTATATTCCTAAATTCTTAAACCAACCATTGTTATTGTGATACTATAAAGATTTATAAACTTTTAACGCTTAAACATAAACGGTAACACTATAAATATTATTTCTTTCGTTGACTATACTTTGACAGATACATAACCTGAAAAGCCTTAAATGACAAATTATCAAAAGACTGCGTTCCGTACGTGGTCACGTGGTGGGACTTTGAAGTGTGGAGCATAGTACAAATTGAACGGGCACGACTACGGGAGGAAGGAAGGAAGGCAATCTATAATTCAGGCTTTAAGCTTTAAGCTTTAAGAATATTTTTTTTGAATTTCGTTTCTAAAATCTTTATACAGGATGAAATTATCTTCAAAAATGTCAATTTAAGCAAGTCTGTAAGTTGAATATCTTCTTCACAAATTGTCGTTCTACTCGAAAATCTTGATCTATTGTAGATAAAAAAGTAACGTGTAGGGAATTTTGTGCCCTACAAATTTGATTACAGTCGTCAGAAATGGAATTTTTAAGAATTTGACATTATGAGTCACTTTAAAATGAAGGACCCTAATATATATATTATTATTAAATTATAAAAAATTGGCAAATGCAAAAAAATTATTCCCTAAAAAATTTTTTTTGTTTGCCCAAAATGGACTTTGGTCGGGACATCCAAAAAATTTTTTGCCAGCAGCTTTTCCCATATAAGGGCCCCTACCAGATTTTTGATAATGGGCCCCCTCGAGGCTAGCTACGCCACTGACTAAATCAAAATAAATAAATAGGTGTATTAAATCAAAATAAATAAATATTTAGGTGGTATTTATTAACTTTCTCTTTTTTTAGAATGAAGTAAATTTCATGAAGTTATAAACTCTTTATAATATAATATCCCTAGATATTTCTTTATTTCTCCTTAGAACTAATGACAAATCCGCAGTATTGACAACGTAGAACTTTATTTAAATACCTGTTCGCATTGCAGTTTATTATGGTTTTAATAAAAAGTATAAAAGTGGTAATTATTAAATTAAATTATTTATTAATAACCAGTAATCACCATAATGCACACTTATATTTTGTTTTTCTATGTAATCAGTTTAACCTGTGCCGTCAAAGTTCGTAAGTAATTAAATACTGTTATTTGGCCCTTGTTCATTGTATTCATAATTTGTATGATTATATAATTATATATTTTTTATTCTAATAGATGTAATATGTACTGATATTGTTTTAGAAAATTAATAAGTTTTACTTATTTTTTAAATTGTTATTATAAAAAATATTTTATTTCTCTAGCCTCATTTATACAATATATGTTCAATTAAAGATGGTCCTTGTTTGGCTAAATCTGCTACTGCAACTCTGCAAAATGTTTTAGATGGTAAGATAATTTAATTAAATATTGTAGTAATTTGTCAATTTTAAGTTAGGTAGATTTATATTTTATAGATATGTGCACAATCCACACAACAAAGTCTGTTCGATCTCGTACCAAAAATACTAAAAATCACTGGATAATCTCCACGCTTCTTTTCTATGTTTAACGTTTTAATTTTTAATATGCTAAGTTTTATTTTGACGACCTATTATGTATAATATGACGAGTAAGTGCTTTATGTGAATTTTAATATGTATTTTACAATTGCCATTATATATCCACTGGATATATAATGGTTATGTTAACCCAGTGTTGCCACACTGAAATTGATTTAAGGTTTTAAGATTTGGCTACACCTGCTAGTGTCGCCAACCTTAGATCAAGTTTTGGAAAATGGGTTTGTACGAGAGGTGTACTTCTAGCTGGGTCTTGAGGCAATTCTTTTGGTCTGCGTACATTTCTAAAATTTACTCTTAAAAACTGACATAGTAGACCTTGTATTTTGTAAAAATATGAAATTTTCTCGCTCAAAAATAACAGTTTATCAAGATCTACACTTTAAAACAAATCCGGTTAAAATCGCACAATAAATAAAGATTTTACAGGGGTGAGTCGCAAACAAATGGGTCACACTGTAAGTTGTTTAGAAGAAAAAATATTATTTTTGATCATTTTGATTTTATTTTTTGTAAATCCGATAATGAACTTAAAGATTTAAAAAAATCGAGTCTAAATTCAAAATATCCAAATGTTCTTTATTAAATTTCCTACAACATTTGGGGAAAAGTTTCGGGTTATCTCGCACGGTTGTATTGATTTTCGACGTTCAAGTTCGACATAGATGACGAAAATGAGGTTTTCGTTAGATTTGCTTCTTGACCTTTTCGGCCATGGCTAAGGCTATGAACAAAGCTAACTTTTTCTTGAAGAATAGAAAATTGCGCAAATTGTAAGCAATATCCAAGGCTGTTTGACTATATGCATATCTTTTCAATGACTGAGTCAAACAGCCTTGGATGGGTGTTGATAATTCAGTAAAACAGAAAATTGGCTATTAGCAAAAAAACTCTTTAGCAGACATCTGCTTTTTTCGCATTTTTCGAAGTTTTTAGATGCCATGAATACGAAAAAAAAAATCACAGCTCTGTTTCAAAATCCTTGTAAGACTGTAATTATTGCAGAAAGAACAAACTATTTATACTGTATACAGTATAAATAATCTAAAAAAATTAAATATACAATTTTATTATAAAAATAAAAAACATAACTTATATTAGTATTATAATCAATTATTGATGTCTCTAAAATTAGCAAAACTTAATTAATATATATGTATAATAGAATATTGCACAAATTTTAAGCTGTTCGTAAGAAGTAAGAATTGTTCATATCTCGTGTATTGGTGTTGATAATTTAGTTTAAATGATAACAAAACCAAGCGAATTTTTAATATAAACTACATTGTTTAAAAGTTTCACTATTTTATTTAAAAATGACAATTGTTTCGCTACACAGTAGCATCTTTAGATCGTATACAAACTAATATTAATTTTCTATTTAAATAAATGATGGTTTATTTTATGAAGTTGGTGAACAAGATGTATTAAACGCTTTTAGGACTATTAAATCGAATGCAGAGGGTATGGATAGATTAAATCTAAAAATATGGAAGTTGGTACTCCCCTATTGCTTACCAGCTCTAACACATATAATAAATAAGTCATTAGAAACAGGAAAAATTCCGCAACTTTGGAAGACAGCAGCAGTGATACCAGTTCCTAAAGTCATAAAGCCGAGTAGCCCGTCAGATCTGAGACCAATAAGCATCCTTCCTTTAGCATCAAAAATCCTTGAAAAAATTGTTATGCAACAAGTATCGGAATTTGCTAACAAATATATCTTGCCTTCAACACAATCTGGGTTTAGAAAAAAATTTCAGTACAAATACTGCACTTCTTAAAATCACCAATGATCTAAGCCGAGCTAATGATTACTCCATGATCTCTTTACTTGTATTGTTAGATTACAGCAAAGCATTTGACATTATAAACCATCAACTTTTAGTCGCAAAGCTACACTATTACAACTTCGACAACTCTGTTATATCCTGGTTTCTGGAGTATTTAACTGATAGAAAACAATAAATAATCAAGAATCCACCATGCTACAGATATCTAAGGGTGTCCCCCAAGGTAGTATACTTGGTCCACTTCTATTTAGTATTTTTACTGCAGATTTAAATAAGGTCATCAAGTTCTGCTCTATGCACCAATATGCAGATGATACTTAAATTTATAAATCAGCTTTACCTGTTGATATTGATAAAGTTATTGCGGAAATTAATGAAGATCTGAGTGTTTCTAAGTGGTCCAAATATAATGGTCTGATATTAAATTCAAAAAAAACTGTTGCTATATGTGTTGGTACAAGTTGTACGTGTCTAAAAGCATTAACCTATAAGACCTGTGATATAAAAGTAAACGAATCTGTGATAAAACTAGAAAACTGTGTAAAAAATTTGGGAATACATTTTGATGCTAACCTAAATTTTAAAAAACATGTATCTACGCTTTTAAAACATGCTTATTTTAAGTTTAAATCTATTTATTGCTATAAATACTTCCTAAGTAGCTCTGTTAAATGGAAACTTACTAATACCATGATTTTAAGCCCTTTTAATTATTGTAGTAATGTATATTTTAGTTTTTTAAATTTAAATACTAAGTCTTTAATACAAAAACTTCAAAATTGCTGTCTTAGATACTCCTATAATATTCAGTACAGCGATCACATAACACAGTATTATGTTATACATGGAATACTTAAAATGGAGGATGTGTTTTACTGCCAATATGCAACCTTAATATTTAATATTATTAAATCTTCAAAACCAGACTACCTTTGGTCCCTCTTAGAAAAAAGAAATTATTGCCATAATGTAAATTTAAGAAACGCCAATCTTTATTCTATTCCATACCACAAAACTTCTAAATTTGAAAAATGCTTTGAGTACTTAGCTGCTTCTATTGCTAATAAACATATGCATTTATTTAAACCTGACCTTACTGTTAACACCTTTAAAAGTAAGTTTAAGAGTTATATATTAAATCTCAGATGTACCTGAATTCAGAATTTTTAAACTGTTATAATATAAGAATATTATTCTTTGTATGTATTTATGTTATTATTTGGTTTAAGCGGTAGACCAGCTATGCTGAGCTTACACCCTTTGTGTTTGTACTATTTTTGTATATTTTGCATGTACGTGTATATATATATGTATATGTAATGTATTATGTATCTTACACAATAAAGTCTATTATTATTATTATTATTATTATTATTATTATTATTATTATTATTATTATTATTATTATTATTATTATTATTATTATTATTTTACAGTATTTTTAGTACAATATTGGGGGTAAATTAAATAAGCGTTATACAATAAAGGAACAATAATTATGGGAATGCCCTGTAATCTTTATAGTTATATAACACTATACTTTTTAAATATATTAAAATAAGTTTAATAGCGGGGAATAATTGGTTTCTATTTGTTCATTGAGAATAATATCAGTTTTCTTTAATTTGTTAATTTTCAAGGACTTTCATACCTTTGTTTTCTATATGTAAAATTTTAAAGTTAGAATTGAAATTATGATTGTCATTTACAAGATAATTTTTAAAGTTAGAATCTGTTTTGTGGTTTATAAATGATTTCCAATCCAAATATGTTTGTTTATTCTAGTTTTAAAGCTACGACTTGTTTGTCCTATATACGTTTTAGGGCAATCTGCACAAGTTAATTAGTAAACTTATGATTTATTATATTTTCTTGTCTTATATTTATTATTTTTAATAAAATTTCTTAAATTATTGTTGGTTTTAAATGTAAATATTATGTTGTTTTTGTATAAAAAGGAACACAACTGTCTCATATTAGCACCTAAGTATGTAAAAGTGCTGTATGTATTAGGTAATAGGGTTCTTACTCTCTAAAAACGAATTAGTAAAAAATGACTAATTTAATAGTTATTAGTGGCTGCTTTTTCACTTGTACCATGGTTAATCATGGAATATCATGGTATCCCAATATTTAACAGCCAATTCTTATGTAAAATTGTCCCCTGAATCCAAAAATTATGAAAGTGGAGCAGTTTTTGAGATATAGTCAATTCAATATTAAATGGAAAATTGACTATATCTCAAAAAACTGTTCTACTGTTTTAACTTTTGACAACATTTTCGGATTCAGGGGACAATTTTACATAAGAATTGGCTGTTAAATTTTAGGATACCATGGTAGTTCATGGTTAACCATGGTACAAGTGAAAAAGCAGCCACTAATAACTATTAAATTAGTCATTTTTGACTCATTCATTTTTAGAGAGTAGTTATTGGGAATATTTTATGTATTTTTGTATTATAAATGTTATCAGTTAATTGTAGATTGTATCCATTATTTACAGCTATTTGTTTTATTAAATTTAGCTCGTATTTGAAATCTATTTCTGATAATGATACGTTTACGAGTCTGTGAATCATAGAATTAAAGGCTGTCATTTTGTGTGGGAACGGGTGTAATGAAGAATTATGTATAACTGTATCTGTGTGACTGGGTTTGTGAAAAATTTAAAATGAATGGATACCTTTTTGACGTCTAAGCCCAGGAAGGGACAAGTCCTAATTTATGCAAAAAAGTGTGACATATATATATATATATATATATATATATATATTAGGGTGATTCAAAAAACGCCTTTTTTAAAAAATGAACCCGCACTGGCCTAAATTATAAAGATTACATTAAAACTAAAATATTTATACCAAAAAATTGAAATTCGATGAATATTTAGAGGTCGCTCAAATCGATTTTCTTATTTTTACACATTCGAGCCGCGAAATTATTACTCCGCAAAATAGTAAATAACTCCGTTAGTTTTTAATCGATATTATTAAAAATTTAAGGGTTACCTAGTTTTTTAATACCCTTTGAGACAGTGTATTGAACTTTACGGAAATTTTTTTTTTTCATGAAAAAAAATAAATTGTTAATAAAAACGTATCATCTTATAAAATAAGCAACAATTGGAATTGCACTATGATGGTACCATAAAAGAACTAAGAAAATAACACTTAAATTATTTAGTATACAGAAAACCTGCCGAAAGAAATATTCTATTTGATTTATATAAAATATAACCTAAAAATAATTAAGTAATTTAGATTTTTCCCATTTTCAAACGATTTTATAAATAAATTATATCCGTTTTATTAATTATAACTTATTTTTATAATATTTCTTTATTTTCATACCATATTTAATTAATTAAACTAGGTAGTTATTAAATTAGGTCCTTTTTACAACTAAAATAAAATAACGTTAACTTCAAAATTATTCACTTCATTGATATGGCTTAAGCAGAATCTTTTTTATTTGAACTTTTGAACTTTTTCGGTAAAACCAGTCATTCGCTCGATTTTCTCAAAAATATGTGAGAAAAAGTGAAAAAACGGCTTTTGGAGCTACTACAATCAACGTAAATAAATCAAAAACAAAATTGTTGCAGGGCCTTTCAAAAACCGTGAATACTATGCAGGAAATTATGGTGATAAAAATTATAATTCAAAACCCGGCCAAAATATAGAAATTTAAAGTAAAAATGATTAAAAATACATGCTTTTTATATGGAAAAACTACAAAATTAAAAAGGAAGTACTTAGAATCAATATTAAGGGCTCAAATTTTCAGGGAATTTTTTTTTCAACCTAAAAAATAAAATTATCATGTGTCAGGAAGAAAAAAAAAATTTTGGTTTTAAATGAAACACCCTAATATATATATATATATTAGTTACTTAATTCAAAAGCGTCTAAGTACCAAAACTAATTTGTTGAGAAATTAAATAAAAACATATAATACCTTGGTGGAGATAGATAGCATGCCCGATGGATGAACCAAGCTATATACTCTCTAAAGATTTTCTTATTTCGGGATCAATTTAAACTCACTAACAATGAAAATAAGTCATTGCGTAGAATTTGTATTTTTATTATTTCGGTTTACATATTTGCCTGGTTCCAAGCTCCAAATGCAACTTGCGCGCCCAAAAATGATTTTAAAACACTTCATGAACTTCATGTTTACAAAAATATAGATTTGCAAAGAGAAGAGCTAATTTGTTTGTCATTTTTTAATAAAAGAGTACCTCTGAAACAAAAGAAAAATGGTTGAAAAAATTAACATTAGAAACAATCATTGCATTACAGATGTAGAGCAGTGGATTTTTTTTATTTCAATTATAAAAAGGACATAAATTATTAACTACTTAGTGTAATTAATTAAATATGGTATCAAAAATAAAGAAATTTTATAAAAATACGTCATAATTAATAAAACGGATATAAATTATTTATAAAATCGTATGAAAATGGGAAAAATTTGAATAACTTAATTATTTTTAGGTTATGTTTTATATAAATCAAATAAAATATGCATTTCGGCAGGGTTTATGTATGCTAAATAATTTAAGTGTTATTTTCTTAGTTTTTTTACGGTACCATCATAGTGCGATTCCAATTGTTGCTTATTTTATAAGATGATACGTTTTTATTAACAAATTATTTTTTTTTCATGAAAAAAAATTTTTTTCCGTAAACTTCAATTCACTGTCTCAGAGAGTATTAATAAACTAGGTATCCCTTAAATTTTTAATAATATTGATTAAAAACTAACGGAGTTATTTACTATTTTGCGCAGTAATAATTTCGCGGCTCGAATGTGCAAAAATACGAAAATCGATTTGAGCGACCTCTAAATATTCATCGAATTTGAATTTTTTTGTATCAATCTTTTAGTTTTAATGTTATCTTTATAATTTAGGCCAGTGCGGGTTCATTTTTAAAAAAAGGCTTTTTTTGAATCACCCTAATATATATATATATATATATATATATATATATATATATACATGTATATGTATATATACGTACACAATACTCCAATTTATAGTATAGAAACTCTCGATGGGTTTATGTTTTAAGATTTTTGATTTTTTTTATAGAAATAAAGATATATTTTCTTTTTATAACTATTTCTAATATTTTAGGAAAGAAAGCTTTAGGCATTCCAAATCTAAACCCTGTTGAATTACCTTTAGTGCAACTTAAAGGACAAGCTCTTAGTTTAGACCTAATAAATCTTAAGGTATTTGGTTTAGATAAAGGTGAAATTACTAAGGTAGAGTAAGTATTAACTTTTGCTAATTTTAATATAAATTTGTATTGTATTTTTTATTCCGTAGATTTAATACAGAAAATAAATCAGGTTTAGTGACTTTACAAATTAAAAATGCCCAGCTAATAAGTGATTACGTCTTAACTGGTAAAATTCTCGTTCTTGCATTAGATGGACGGGGCAAATCAAACATAACTGCATGTATGTACCCAATTTTTTCACATTTTTAAGCTATTTAGTTTAGTTTAAATTATACAAGGCAGAGAGGTAACGCCTTTCAAAATTATATACATATATGTATATATGTGTTTCGTAGAAGTTGGAGCTTTGTATTTTTGAACACTCACAGAAAAAACTATAGCATAGCATGAATGGGTGAGCCATTAAACCAATGGGCTCTTGTAATCCGTATTCCTGAATAACAGTTCCTATAATACCAATAGGTAGTTAGCACTTGGTTTATAATCGTTTACTGTTTTTAAATTAACAACAAAAGTTATCGCTTCTACATCTATTGATATTCATATTGATATTTAATTGTTAGAATATTAAAATGTTATTGCATTAAATACTAATTTGATTTATTTAATAACGTTACTATTGTATGTATACTATGTATAGTACATTGTATACATTTAACGCAATAAATTCTTTGAGATTTAGGCAAAATATTTCCCTATTTTGGTTTAATAGTAATTAATTGAGCAAATAACAATTAAGATTGCTTTAATTTTAATGCATTCAATGACAGCGCTGTTCTTGGTACTATGTTAGATTTTTTTCTGTGCTCTAAGAGAGAGCTATTGGTTATTATTAAACTGTTGGTATAGAATTACCTACAATTAAATTATAGCCGAACTTTATAATTATAAATATTTAAAGTGAATTAAAGTTCTTAATAGGTTTCAATTATGCTGGCGCCCATAGCCCTCGTATGCGAATGTTGGCTTAAAAATCATATTAAGCTTTGTAAATATGCAAAATTGCTTATTGTAGTTAAATTAATCTACAGTAGTATAAAGACAGGAACAATTTTAAGATCAAAACTTTCCTAAACGCTGCTCGGATGGAAAACAAAAATCCAATGTATTTTGAAAATTTAACTTAACTTCAAAAGTTATGGCCGTTTTAAATTAAGTGACTTAATCTATCTGTCTGTATTGATCTACTTTTACTATTTGCCAATAAATCATATTAGTTTCATTGAAATTTGAGCAAAACCTTTATTTTTACATTTTTATTATTAGTAATTATTGGTAATTATAAATTATATTACAAGTACTTATTTTAATTAGGTACATTAATGTAAAAACTAAAAAATGTAAGTTAGTTCCACCCATATTTTATAAGTGAACAAAGCAAAACAAAATCCACAGAGTGATTATTTTAAATCTCAGAAACTAAAGTATCGCAAACACTACCACTATGAAATACTAATCATTAGATATTATTGTAATAAAAAAATCTAATTTAAACAATAAAACAATATGGAAAATTATTACATATAATATAAACCATACAACTAAAGATTTGTGTCCTAACATATTACCAAACTAATTTAACTTTTTTAAGCATACAATAAATTTTATATTATATAACTCATTAGTCTATAATATAGACTCTATATAGAAATGTATGCTCGGCGATAATGTGTGCTTTCTTTGCCGATATTGTACTATTTTGTAAATGTAGCCGAAAAACTTACAAGCAACATAAAAACCGTTAATAAATCCAAACAAAAAAATACCATAAATCCTAATTTAGGATTTTAGTTTAACAACTTTTATTTGTGTGTCTCACCTTTCTTACAATATTCCATTCAATATTTTTATTTAATATCTTTTTCCAGATTTGTATAATTTATTATTTTGAATGTATACTTTTGTTTTTATTTAGTTGTATGGATTTTTTACACCTATATTGAAGAATATCATTTTGTGATCAGTGTTGTGTTGATCTTGTAAATTAAGTAAAATGATAAGAGGAAGAATAGGAATTACATTGTCTTATTGCTTTTGTACCCCATATCTCATTTATTCTTGTAGCATATTTTCTGCATTTTTTTCCATTTTCATGTAGTACTAGTTTTTTCTTTATATCGGTAAGAATTTAATTTTTCTTCCAATATATTTATGTTAAAGTTAACAAGTTAAATAAAATAAAATATTTTTTCAAGGTTATCCAAATTTTTATTTTTGATCTGTTTTTTATAAACATCACCTAATTTAAAATTAAAACTGTTAAAATTAGTCACCAATATGTTTTATTCCTGACATTCATTAATAACAATTTCAAATATAAAAAATTTCTTGATATAAATAGATGCTCCCCGTGGACTTTTTTTGTATATTTAGCCAATAAAGTTTTTAAATTTTATATGTGGACCTTTTTCTTTATACAGCCATGTTTCTGCTAGGACTAAGAGATCTGGTTTTTACTGCTGCAATAAAACTTCAACTTCATCAATTTTATTTCTTATGCAACGAATATTTAAATACAGAGTTTTCCTCTAAGTATGTTTTTCTTATCTTATTTAACATGTCTTTGTTATCAATTTCAAACACCTTACTATCCTGTTTTTATCTAGGCAATATTTTGCCATAGTTGAACAAAGCAAACTTTAAATTTAGCTCTTTTTTTTTAGGTACCTTGCTAAAGTTTCTAATAAATTAATTGAGTTTTGATCTTAAATCGTTGAATATTTCTCTATGTTTGTGCACCAATTTATAATACAGTTTGTTATTTTTATGTCATACTTGTGACTATCATTTTTTCTTTTTTTTCTTTTTAAACATACATGATAATAAGTAAATTTATGTTTTATATTTTGACATTGACAACATTCTAACATTCTAACAAACTTCAACATACCTGACCTTCTTAAATAACATTTGATTCTCGTGAGTCATATCGTGATTTAGGTAAATTGACTCTTCTCCTACCTGGCCAACATCTTTGTGTTTTAGTTTCTTTTTGGTTTTGTAAGCTGACATTAACTTATCTTTTTCAGCCTTCGAGACAAAGGATACTTTTAATATCGACTTTGACTATTCTTTGCTGATATTTTGTACTTCTATATAGGTTTTAAAGATTTTATGTTGTACACATCTCCAATTTTGATAACTAGTTTTTTGTTTATCGTTGTTTTTATTTAGCCCTTGCATGATTTGGTTTTCAATCAGTTTTTCTTATTTTGCTTTACATCAATACTTACTTTTGAAGCTCCTTTAGCTTCTTGTTTTCATTTGATACTTTGTTAATTTTTTTCAAAAGTTGATTAAATTTGGATTCAATTTTTCATGCTTATTCATATCATCATTTATTGAGTATATTTTTATGTATTTATCTTTTTTGTTTGCGCTGGTCGATTCGTTTTCCGAATTGGAATCATCCCCAGCATCATTCGACACTATAGAGTCGTCATATCAGATTCTTTCATACAGGATTTACATGTCCAGCCAGTTTTGACCCCTGTACATTGCCCACAGTTTACACTGCTGACACTGAATCTTAATTTTAGATTTACAAGGTGTTTATTACAAGCCAAGCACATGGTAGTATTTTTTTTCTTCGTCATAGTATTACTTTTATTTTTTAATATTTAGGATATACAAATCTATAGTTTCCAACAATATAAAATTACAATTTTTAATATAAAATCACAATTTATTGGTTACGATTATTTTAGGTTTGTCTTCTTCTTTTCTTCTGTATTATACATTTAGCTATTTTCAATACAGAAACTTTTTAAGGTTTAAATTTATTGCACGGGGTTAAAACGAATAATTGCAGTTTTATAATAATAAATGACGGATAAAATATTAGTTTTGATCTAATTTTATACTATAATAGTACTTTTACTTTTAAGACTGAAGGAACCCTAAAATTTAGTTTTTATATTTTAATTTTAGCTAGTTCTGTTTTCGAATGGAGTTTTAACTACGACTTTAAAGAAAAAAACGGCGAACAATATCTTAAAATAATTAAAGACGAAACCACTTTTAAATTAGAAAGTTGTTCCTTTGAATTTGGCGATTTATTTAAAAACGATCCGGTTTTAAGTAAGTATATCTGTTTTAAAAGTTTTAAGATCTTTATTTTTAGATTTCATATTTTTATTTTTTAGCCAAAAGCACAAACGATATATTAACACAGGAATGGAAGTCTGTTATTGAGGATTTGGGAAGTGGAATTGGTGCAACTGTGGGAAGTGTTTTTAATCTTTGCACCACAGGGATATTTTCTAGAATACCATTCAATCAACTTACAAATTCATAAACTGTTACCAATATTGTGAATATTGTATTCTTAAATATCTTGGATAATGTCATAATAAAAATATAAATTAATTAATAAACATTTATTTTTTATTTTATGACCGTAAAATACATTTTTAATATAAAATTAAATTTAATAATTTTAGGACTTTCTTTAGCCCCAAAAACAAAAAGTTGTGTCTCTACTGAGAGAAATAATTCTATAAACCAGTATTGATGACAAGTTTTATAAAGGTAATAAGCTGAATAGTCACTGGAATACTTTTGATTTTACTCCAGTGGTTTAATACTGGGTATAATCTAGATGCATATATTTTTTATAAAATGATTTCTTGCAGACATGATATATTTTAATTTATATTTTTTGTAAGAACTATAACATGTCTTATACTGGTTAATAGAGCTAATCCTTCATATGATTTTACGCGCACGCGCATGGTGCATTGTTTTGACGAAATTACTGGGGGAGTTGCTTAGCTGACCGCCAGAAGTGGTTGAGACTTAACTGTTGAATGCAATTGTCGAATATTGTTTGTAGTGTTTTTTTTATTTGTTGTGGTTGAACACATGGGAGCCGCTGCAGCTAAACGAAACTGTATTTATCGACTCTTATATTAGGGGATAGATTAGGAATCTCAATTTAAGATTATAATTTGCCAAGTTGGGGTCCCCAACGACACGTGCTCACCCATCGTAATGCATTTGTAACCTATAAACCGATAAAATAAATAATTAACAATATTTTATAATACATGCCTTACTTTTAGTCCTCGTAGCTACGTAATAAAAATTTATTAATTTTATGATAACTAAATTACTAATAATGAGAATAAACAGTGTATTAGCCACTAAATTACATAAATAGGAATTTTACATACATAACAATATAAAGTAATACTGAAACATTTAATACTCGTTATAAAGCGGGTTTATAGTATTTAAGACGTATTGTTTATATCCACTACAACAGGGTATTATTTTCAAGTGTTAAAAAAACTAAAAATTTTGTTTTTATTGACCATTAATACAGGGTGTGTCGCGAATGTGGTCAGTTTTTGATATAAGAAGTACACAATCAATGTTTGAGAATTTTTTTAATTTATAATGAAAACAAAGTTAATGGTATGTTCAATAAACTGTCATGAGGTGGTGGCCATTTTCACGAATGTTTAAAGCCTTAAACGAAAGTTGACATCTCGAGAAGTGGGCGATTGATTTTCTTGATCTCCTGTCGTATTCCTGCCATTAACTTTTCCAGTGTTTTGGCTCTGTGGTTGTAAACACTCGCGTTGAGGCTATAGCCTCATAAAAAAGGTCTGGCGATCAGACAACAAATCGGGAAACAAAATTTCATCCATGAAAATGGTCACCACCTCAATGAAATAATTTTTCGAATATAACATAAGCTATATTTTATTTAAAAATACTATATTTTTTTCTTAAAAACCAAATTTGTATATCTTATTTTTTTAAATGACTAAAGCTGCTCCTCTCCTTGTGTCAGCTTAAAAAATATTGGGAAAAGTTAAAAAGTTAACTTTTTAACTATTTATTATAATATAATAAATAGTTAAAAAGTTAACTTATAACCTATTATGTTTATAGTTCATAAGGTCTTACCTCAGTAATTTTCTGATTTATATTATAATAATAATAATATAAGTCTTTATTGAAACATTTAACATTTTCAAACGGCGAAGTTCAGCGTGTTTAAAAGAAAACATCTGTTCTTTCACTTAACCGTTAAGATACATACTTATTTTAACAAATAAATATTTAAATTTATATAAAAAAAAAACAAAAAAAAAACATATACCTATGTACATGCATAAAAGTGAGGCAAATTTTGGTAATTTATAAAAAAATAAGTGAACAAAACAGACCAAAAATTAATTATAATTTATGAAGCCATCCAATAACATTTTTTTTTACATTTTTCTTAAAAGCTGTAGATTTACTATTCTTTAAACTATCAGGAATCAAATTGTACCATTTGGCAATATTGTATGAGTAACTCCTTTGAAAAATAGCTGATTTATGACGAGAGATCGTTAAGTTAAAAAATAAAACAAAAAAAAAACATATACCTATGTACATGCATAAAAGTGAGGCAAATTTTGGTAATTTATAAAAAAATAAGTGAACAAAACACACCAAAAATTAATTATAATTTAGGAAGCCATCCAATAACATTTTTTTTACATTTTTCTTAAAAGCTGTAGATTTACTATTCTTTAAACTATCAGGAATCAAATTGTACCATTTGGCAATATTGTATGAGTAACTCCTTTGAAAAATAGCTGATTTATGACGAGGGATCGTTAAGTTAAGTCTGTTTCTAATATTTAAAGTGTGAACATCAGTTCGAAATTTTATTTTGTTATACAAGTATGGTGGGCAAGTGACAACGTTATTGAATAATACAAGAGAGTGTAACAGTCTTCTCTCTGACATGTTTAACCAGCCTATTTCACAAAATTTGCTTTTTACTGAAAGTCTCCTACTTACACCACATATTAAGCGAACACACGAGTTTTCTAGTCTTTGCATTCTTCTTTCATCAATTTTTGTAAGACAAAAACCATAAAGGGCATCACAGTAGTTAAAATGCGAAAGTACCATTGAATCACATAAAAGTTTTTTAATATTAGTATTTAATAAATGCCTTTTTGACGAAATTTGAAACATGTTAACTTATTAACCTCCTCAATTTTCTGCCCATTAATAGTTAAGCTAATACTGGGTACATTTGCTCGTTTGCTAAAAACTATAACTTTAGACTTTTGGGGATTTATTTGGAGAGAGTGTGCTGACGACTCCAAACTTAAATTTTCAAGATCTTTATTTATTATTCCTGTAATTTCACATATGTCTTCACACTTAAAAGGAAAATACAATTGTGTGTCATCGGCATACAAGTGAACATTGCAGTTTTAAATGCATTTTACTAATTGTGATGTGTATATAGCAAACAGAAGGGGACCTAAGATCGAGCCTTGCAGTACTCCACATTTGATTTCAACAGGAGTCGAAATATTATTTTTTTATCCTGACGCATTGCTGCACTGAGAAAAAAATGGGACAAATAAACTGTTTACCTAATACTTTTATTTGTAGTGAATATATTGTTTATTACCTCTAAATAGTCGAAATAATAACGATAAAGATACTTTAGTAAAACTTTATATGTCGGGAATAAAAATATATTTAGGATAAATAAACTGTACCCTTGTCCCATATTTAAATATTTTTTTTATTTGGGAGCAATAAACTTTTTTCTCCGTGTGCCTGTCACTCAAATACATCTTTAAAAAAATTACTCAAGTATAACCAAAGCCAATATATTTTAAAATTGCAAGTAATAATTTATGGTTAATTAAGTCGAAGGCTTTGGAATAATCCAACAAAATGAGAGCTGCCATATTATTTGAATCAAGTTCTTGTAATATATCATCAGTTACTTTTAAAAGTGCTGTTGTACAACTGTATCTAGATCTAAAACCTGATTGAATGGGTGGTAAAATGTTAAAAGTATCCAAAAGATTTCTTATTTGTTGGTATATAAGTTTTTCCAAAATCTTTGACATTGTTGGTAGGATACTAATAGGCCTGAGATCTTTTAATTCAGTTGGGCATCTGACTTTTGGAATAGGAGTTATATGGGCGTTTCTCTGTAAACTGGGCAACTCATTGTCTCAAGCTAATATTGTTTAGAAAAATAACAGATCATAAATATTTCGTAGATAACTTCAAAAGATAATAACCTAATCTACCTATGCTCGACGTTCAAAATCCAATAAAATAAACTTTAATGTATCAAAATCGTTTTTATAGTCCTTAAAAACCAGTCCCCTGACGTGTCACCAAAGCAAAATGGTCTTTTCAGACTAAATTAATTAAAGACAGTAACTATTGGAATCAACCTAATTGTTTAATTATTCAACCAATATTGTTTGCTTGTTACTGTGACTTATTTATTTTTTATAATTATTATTTTGTAACTCTAAAAAAGTCATCTAAACTTTGTCTCCGGATTTTATAAACAGTCCCCTGTATAGATTTTTCAGAAAATGCTCAATGTTTTCCAAAGTAATAGGAATGTTTTTGGTTCATCTGCCGTATACTAATAAATAGACCGATATTTATTCATCGAATAACATTTATTAAATACAACAAAAATATAACAAAAAAACTTGCCCAGACAATTTCTTACTTCAAGTTGCCCAGTTTACAGAGAAACGCCCATATAAGAAAATTTCTAACCTTTTGGAAAGCTACTAGTTTCTATACAGTAGTTTATTATATGTGTCAAAACTGGAATAATATAGGGACAACAAAACAATAACATACCTACCTATACTTATTCCATCACTACCCACAGCTTTGGACTTAATAGAGAGGAGACATTTATGTACTTTATTTTCACTTACAGTAGAAAAATGAAATAAAGAAACACCAGTAATTTCGTTATTATTGTAAAAATTATACTTATTTGAATTAGGTTCTTGTTCGGTCTGAATTATAGAAGCAAAGTAATTATTTATATCTATTTCATTATTTAGGTTGGAAGGTATTTCAGATAAGGATTTGGAAGTTACATTTGAATCTTTTAAGATCTTCCAGTTTTGTTCACTATTAATAGAAGTAAAAACAGAATTAATGTGTGCTCTTTTCTCATTTTTAATTAATTTATTAGCATAATTCCTAAGCATTTTATAATTATCCCAATTATTAGGTGTTTTAGTTTTTTTGAATTTTTGTAATGCTTTATTACGAAGTCTAAATATTAACCTAAGATTATCAGTTAACCAGGGAGCCCTTTTTTTGTTACTCTGACAGTACGCACTGGCGCGTAGTGATCAAACAAAGAAAGTAAAATATTATTTAAAATAGTTAGTTTATTATTAACATCAAGCTCATTAAAAACTTCATTAAAAGAAAATCGGCACAAACTTACATAAAATTCTTCAATATTAAAATTTTTAAAATCCCTAAAGGTGTAAAACTTTGGCTCATTTTTAATACATAAAACATTTAAACT